TCGACGGCATGCTGGATCTCTCCATGGTGATGCCCCTGGCCGTCTGCCAGGCCCAGTTCGCCGCGGCCAAGGCTGGGACGCAAGGGGGCCCCGACGGGCTCACGAACGCTGTCCTCAGGGCGGCCCCCACAGAGGCAGCGAGGCTACTGCACCCCCTTTTCACCAAGGTGGCGACCACCGTGAGAGAGCCGCTGAGCTTCAAGGGTGGAGACCTGGTCGCAATTCCCAAAGGAAAAGGCGACCCAAGGTACCTCCAAGCCTACCGCGAGATCCTCTTAAACAACGTCCTGGGCAAGCACCACCACAAATACCTAAGGACCATGCTCAACACTACCCTCGCCATAGCGCTGGAGGACATCCAGGTTGGCGGCCGGCCCAAGCGAGGGGCGGACATGGCGGTCCTAGCAGCGCGCCTCTTCACAGAGAGAAGTCAGGCCCAAGGGAAGTGCTCCATGATAAGCTGCTACGACTTAAAGGAGGCCTTCTACTCGGTTGTAGTCCAGCTGGTTCATGGCATCCCAGGCGAGGAGGACGAAGTCAAGGAGGTGCTAGAGAACCTCGAGGTTCCCCTGTGGGCCCAGCCGCAGCTGGAGCACCTCATGGCCAACCCAGGGATACTCGACACAGTGTTGGACGGCTCCCACTTGGCTGCCCTCATTGCAGAAGGTTACCGCAACAGGTGGACATCACACAGGTTCTCCCAGAACCTTATGGCGCCGCACAAGGGCACGAGGCCTGGCGTGCCCCTGGCCGACGCGGACTTCAATCTGCTATTCGGCCGAGTCCACCGCATGATTGACAGCTACCTTGCGCAGCGAGGGCTACGACCTCAGGGCAAGCCTCTTGACAGCAGCTTCGCATGCGACACCGACCCCACAGATGGGCCACTCCAGGAGCATGAACCTCATGGCCTATCGTTCGTCGACGACCTAACGGGCATGCACGTGTTCACCAGCCCCGACCACATTCAGCATGAGGCCACCGGGTTCTGCGAAGCCGTCTACTGCGCCGCCAGCACCTTCGGCCTCCAGCTGCAGCTCACCAAGACCAAGGTGATGATCGACTTCAGTGGGCCTGGGAGCCGGCAAGCGCGGGCCAGTTTCTACTCCGAGGGAGTGCCGAGGATCGAGGTCCCCCTTGCAGAGAGTTGCGTCGAGGTGGTTCGTCACCACAAGCTCCTCGGGACCTACGTGACCGACAATGCATCCCCTGGGGTGGATGTCGCAGTGAAGGTAGCCACTGCAGCGACATCCACGAGGCCTCTCCATCGCGAAGTCCACCGGCGATCAGAGCTGGCCATCAAAGACAAGGCCTACTTAGCCGACAGTGTGGTGCTATCCCAGCTACTATACAATGCGTCTACCTGGCCCGAACTCACCGCAGGCCAGGCCAGGAATTTTAACAACCAGTATATCGTCAACTACGCTGCCGCGCAAAGGATCACTTGGAAAGTACGACAGAAAAATAGGTAACGAACACCCAGATTCTCGAAGGGGTCGACAAGCTGCCCCCAGAGATAGTCCTGCGACTTGAGCGGCTACGACTATTTGGCAGATGCCTCAACTGGGGACCCCTGCACCTCCGCCGGCTACTTAGCCAAGCATGGGATGGTAGTTACGGCTGGGTGGCACTGCTCCGCCGCGACCTAGACTGGGTCCGCGACCACACAGGACCTGACGAGCGTGGTGGAGCATACACGCTCGAGGGCTGGAAGGACTGGGCCAGGAACGACTACCAAAGCTACCTCAGCGCAGTAAAGAAAGCTTGCCAACGTGGCAAAGCTCGCCAGTACGATCACGACTACCAAGCTCGATGGCGGCTTCGACTCCAACGGTGGACCAACACGGAAGCCATCTCGCCCTTCCCAGACCAGCACTTCGAGCAGCAGCGCAAGTACCTATGCTACCACTGCGGACGTACCGAAGCCAGTGCAGCAGTGCTACGAGCACACATCACCAAGGACCACACCTCGTCGGGTCATCCTATCTCGTGGGCAACTGGTTCGGTCTGCTACGGATGCGGCATGGATTACCATACTACAAACAGGCTGGTCAAACACTTGCTGAGAGTGCGCAGGTGCGCTCGACATTGGCGAAAGACGCGTCCAGCAATCCTAAGTAGAGCCGAGCTGCAGCACAACCAGCAAATTGTCCGCGACCAGCAGCAGGCGAACCGAAGGGCGGGCAGGCCCATCGACTGGGCAGAGAAGCCTGCAGTCCCTGCTCGTCCTCCAGAAATACATACGGACGAGGACAGCGACGACAGCAACGGCGGCCACTACGAGAGCCTAGAGCTCCCCTTCATCGAGGAGCCACCACCGCCGCCAGCTGCTGTCCCTAGGCCCAGACCAGCTCGGACGCTATACGTGCTGCATCTATTCAGCGGTCGTCGCCGAGAGGGAGATGTTCAGGACTGGTTCGACCGCCTCAGCAGTCGGGCTGCTTGCGACATACACATGCTCAGCCTGGACATCGCCAACGACCCGACCTTCGGCGACCTGACATCAGAAGTCGCAGTCAGCAAGTGGCGAGACATGGCACAAGCAGGGAGAATTGCAGGAGTCATCGGCGGACCGCCGTGCGAGACCTGGAGCCGAGCGCGCCACTTGCCCCCCAACGACTGCAGGGGTCGCCCACCAAGACCCCTAAGGAGCAGCAGCAGCCTGCGGGGCCTTCGCTACCTTTCCCGCCCAGAGATGGAGCAAGTAGCGACAGGCAACCGCCTGTACAGGACACAGCTGGAGCTCATGTACATGTGCCTCAACCTGGGAGTCCCAGGCATGCTCGAGCACCCGTCCGAGCCCACCGAGGAGCACTTCGCCAGCTCCTGGAAGCTTCCCGAGACGCGCCACCTCCTGAACCAGCAGGGAGTCGAGCTGATCACATTCGACCAGTGCACCTGTGGAGCGCGTTCGAGGAAGTCCACAAGCCTGATGGCGGTATCCCTACCAACCCTCCGAGCAGAAATCAGTAGACTGCCTGGAAGCGGGAGGTGCTTTCACACGGCCTCCTACCACGCGGAGCTGGCAGGCATCAACGACGACGGCCAGTGGCGCACCGCGGCGGCCAAGGAGTACCCGAACAGGATGTGCCAGGCCATCGCGACCGCACTGGCGAAGCAGATAAGGTGGCGCTTTGGCGAGTCGCCTAGCGACGTCCAGGGGTGGCACATCGACGACGACGTGGCCCACTTCTTCCAGCCGCTCGACCGCTACAAGACCAGGGAGATGGGTCAGGACTACCATCGGGGCCCAGCGAGGCGGAGTGGCTCACCGACCTGGTTGGAAGAGGCAAGGGAGTGGGCCCTGCAGGACCGACCCGGCAAGGCAACCGGCAGGGCCACCACCTCGACAGGAGCTGTTCGGGCACAGGCTGACAACGCGGATCGCGACGATGCGCCCTGACGACAAGTACAAAAGAATCAGAACGCAAGTCCTGAGGAAGCCCCGAGTGCGTGGGAACACCTCAGGCTACGTCGCCAAGTTTTGCACAAGTCATCAGGACGCAAGTCCTGGGGAAGCCCCGAATGCGAGGGAACACCCCAGGCACACGTCGCCACGTTTTGCACTTTGACGGACACGGCCGCCGTTCAGTCAGGGCTCAGAGGTACCAGCCAGATTACCCCAACTGCACCAAGTACGAGTCAACGCTGCCCTGGTGAGGCAAGGATCAAACTTCGAGACGGGCTCGAAGGGCGGGGGGGCAGGACGAGGACTGCCCGCGCCTACCAGGGGGGATGGTGAGGGGCAGGGGGGGGGCAGGACGAGTACTGCCCGCGCCCCCGCGGTCCGCCCTAGCTCGCCACCCCCACCATTCCCATGGCGGAGACGGAGCTCCCGAGCGCCCAAGGGCGAAGCATAGGGCAGCGTTGACCTTCCTCATCGACAGCAAGAATCACTTGGCCTGGGGTTCGCCCCCACCGAGGGCACCGTGACCCCTAGCCATAGCGGGACGAGGTAGGGCCGCCATGAACCCTACTTGAAGTCGGTGCATGGAGGCCTGAGTGCGCCCACAATCTATTCCACCTACCAGCAACAAGCCGGCCCCCATCGACCCTAACCAGCACGACAATTACCTCATCGGCTGAGACGAGTACCAGAGCCTGAGCCCAACACAGTCAAACAGTGCTACTCGACCAAGGCGACCGAGCCAAGTACAAAGAGCCTACCATCATCGAGACAGATGACCACTGGATCAGCGATGCTGAGTTGAATGGTGTGAATGGAGCAAATGGAGAAGGCTCATCATACGATTTCGACCAGCAGGACTGAGTCGAGTACCACAAGCTCGAGGGCGACAGAATCATGCTCTACTACAACACCACCGACCACCGAGGTGGCCCAGTGAGGGGGCTGAGCCGTCGGGGTCCCGAGGGACATAATTTGGTGTCACCCCCCTTACCCCCAGCCGCCTCATCTTCCACTTATGGGTTCCTGGTTCGGGCCCTGTGCTGGGGGGGTAAAGGGGGTGGCACGCCAGGCGAGCCCTGGCCCACCGTGCCCCAAGGCCTGGGCACCGCCGCCCAGGACAGGTGTTGCAGCTGCCAGGCTGATATCCTGGGTGGCAGCGCGCCGGGCCTGGGGGCGAGTAGTAGACCATTGGACCCCGCTCCCCTTCTTGGGGCCCGCGTTTTGGGGCCCCCGTCGGCCTGTTTCCTCCCTCCTTGCGGGGTCCTCTGGTGCCTGGCCTTTCCCATCTTTAGGGCCTCGCCCCCCCGCTCTTCCTTTGCCCCGAGAGATCCTGGAGGCCCCTTCCTCTCCCCTGGGCGGGGCCCCCTCCCCCCCCCCCCCGGCGCCGAAGGCGCCCGCGCGTCGGCCGCGTGTGCGGCTAGGCTCGGGCGCGGAGGCGCCTCGGTCGGCGGCAGCTGCCGCCGCGTTGCGCTTCAGGGATCAAACCCTTCATGGCGCGGCAAATAGCGGAAATAGCGGAAGGAGGAGGAGGAGGAAAATCAATAATAACAAGAAGAAAACTTACCCATACTCTGTGGGTCCGACGCCGCTCCTTCACCAACCCCTTCGAGTCGTCGCCGAGGAAGTCGGTGACGGCACTGTACGGGAAGGCGCTCGTGTCGGCCGAGGAGGTCGCCGAGGTGTCGGCCGCAGTCCCGTTGCCCCCCTTCGACTGGGCCTCGTCCTCCTCCTCGTCCTCGTCCTCGTCCTTGTCCTCCTCCTCCTCCGCCTCCGCCTCCTCGTCCTCGTCCTCGTCCTCGTCTTTCCCCTCCTCCTCCTCCTCCTCCTCCTCCCCCTCCTCCTCCCCCTCCTCCTCCCCCTCCTCCCCCTCCTCCCCCTCCTCCCCCTCCTCCCCCTCCCCCTCCTCCCCGCAGAGCCGTGCCCCGCCTGCACGACCAGGTCGCGGGCCTCCCAGTCTGCCGCCAGAGCGAACGTCTCGGACCTGTCGGCCTCGGACTTCCCCCCTTGGACCCCCCTCTGGGTGGCGCGACCCTGGCGTTGGTGGTGCGCACCCTCCGAATTACTGCTGTGCCATCGGCTACGCGGGGACGGCGAACGCCCCGACCGCGGAGCTGCCGCGGCGCCTGCGCCAACGAACCGTGCGAGCGGATCCAGCAGGCGAGCGACGAGGATCAGCTGGGCTGTTCCGTGCGCCCACCCCCGCAGCCCCTTTCCCGGAAGCAAGCGTCCTCAGAAAGTCGCCCTCCATCCCCCCCTCCTCCCCTTCCTACATCTGCGCCCACATTCCAGCATGCGCGCTGGGCATGATGCCGCAGAGCGTGCGCTCATGCGAGGATTTCGACACTGCATTGAGGTGAGTTTTGAGGGACGTTGATCATCCCCCCCCCTTCCCACATCTGCGTCCAGATCCCGTGCTCCGCCTCCTCCTCCCCATCGAGGCTGTATACTTCTCCTCTGTAGGGGCCCCTGCCTGTCTCAAACACGGGCCGCCGGGCCGCTGCCCTGCCGGGGCCGCCTTCTCTGGGCAAGATTGAATGAAGGGGCCCAGGGACACACCAATAAATACACACAAATAAAACGATACCCCATATTTTCTTATATTTTCTGGGTTTCTGTCTTCCCCCCCACTTCGCATATTTTCTTATATTTTCAGGGGAAATCGGGGATTCATTATGTCTGTGTGTTTTTTCCCTCCTGAACTGAGAGCAGGCTCTGAGGGAAACGCGCCCTGGAGCCTGGATCCTAATCCTGAACCGTTTTCTGACCACGCCGTGACCCCGGCAAGGGCCTCGGACCCCCCGCCAAAAAACGGCCAGAAACATCCGGAGCCATCTCCCTCGTGTCTCCTCTCCTGCATGGCGATGGCCCAATGCACTGAAGCAAGAATCCTCGCACCGAGTAGCATAGCACAGCGCAGCTCGGCGCGGCGCAACAACATCAGCACCCGCGCGACAGGCTGGCGCTGGCTAAGCATCGACCCTCTTCTAAGTGTGGGCTATGGATGGATCAGGTCCTTTGCACCTTTCCTGGTACAGTCAAGCTCCTACCATCAGGAACGCTAGCTGAGGAACGAATCTCCTCTTCGACCTCGAAATACACAGTGAAAGGACCTGAGTGAAATCGGGCCTCTTTCGGACCCGAAGTGTTCCTGATTCCAGCGTCTTGACTGCACGGCATGTTCATGTCGTGACGACCCTTGCGTTGGTCTCTGACACCGCGTGGATAGATTCTTGAACGATCGCGGCTTTGCGATAGCGCGGATCGTTCGAAACTGGCCGATTCTGGGCCGCTGGCGGCGTTCAACCTACGCCCGCGGTGGGCTCGCCGCAGGGCCGACACGACACAAACCTACGGCATCCTGAGCACCATCGTGCCAACCCACAGCACATACACTTTGGGCTTCCTCGGCCTGTCACGGTAAACGCGCCTGCGCCTGACGCCCAGATCAGAAGTATGAAATGGGAGAGGAAGAGGAAACTAAGACGAACGAGGACCAAGAGCAGGCGGAGGCCAACGGCGACGACAAAGGAGAGGAGGAGTCGAGGTTCGAAGAGTTGGCTGCGTGCTGCGGGCTGCAGTCCGGAAAAGGAAGAGGAGGACGGCGACGGAGAGCAGGAGAGGAGCACATAATCCCGATCGAGTCCGATCCCGATCAACGATCGATGGATCGGGAGCAGGGGTAACTGGGAGCCTCATTTTCGTCAACGCGGGGTCAGCTCTGAAGGCAACAGAGTCATCGCCTGTCACAGCCTGAAACCTGGCCTTCTCAGAAAAACGGAGATCCGCAAAAAGCTAAGCTTCCGGAACTCCGAAGGTTCAGGTTTGTCCAGTTTATTATTCCCCGAGCTTCTCCACCAGAGCACAGCCAGCGTGCTAACATCGGCCACGCGCAAGAGTGACCCTGGGTGAGAGTGACCTCTGGTGCACGGCTTTCTGGGGGCCGCGGGGGGACCAATCACAACCAAGCAGGGCGCTTCTTACGTCGCACCGCGCTCGGCGATCGGGGGACGGACCCCTGGGGGCCCGCACCAAAGGACACTCCGGCGAAGGGTCATTCTTACATGTAGTCGACGACATAATTGAGCAGGGACCGACCGTCCCGGCATTCCTATAGCCCTACCACGAAATTCTCTTAGAACCCAAACATGTTCTAAGAACAAAAACAGTGGTCTTAGAACAGAAACCCGATGCGATAAAAAAAAAACAGACAGTCCCAACCAGAAAGGTTCTAAGACCATTTCGTGGAAACCGCAAACGGTTCTTAGAGCATGGTTCGGTAGCGCTATAGCAACGCCAGGACGCTTCGCCACTGCTTGGCATAAGGAACGCAAGACGAGGGACGGGGGGACTCCTGGCCGCGGCGAGCTTCTGCCACGAACGGGGCCCCAGACCCAGGTTCGAGGAGCGGCCCGGAACAGGGCGCCCCTCTTCAGCCCAAAGGTCGGGCCGGGCGAACGGGGGAGGGGATAGCAAAGGGGGGGGGAGAATCAGCTCACGTAGCTGATTTTCCCGGCGCCTCCTGGCGCCGGGAGGAGCCCATGTGTCGAGGAATGGGCCCGGCGGTGGGGCCGAGGAGGAGGAGGAGGAGGAGGAGGAGGAGGAGCAGGAGGAGGAGGAGCAGGAGCAGGAGGAGGAGGAGGAGGCGGTATGCTCGCTGTCTCACAATGCCTTCGGCGGGCCCCCCTTCGGGCGCCTCGCAGGGCGCGCGCCCCTGCCTCGGCGAGAGAGGGAGGCGGGGGGCGGGGGGGACGGCGAGGCGGGAGAGGGCGACGAGGGCGACGACGACAGCGAGGGGCGACGCGGAGGCACGATCCCGCAGCGCGGGAGAAGCAGACACACCGATGCAGCTGGGGTCAAGTCGGGCGTGTCCCCCTGCAGGGGGACTTTGGGCGAAAAATGAAAAAATCAAACAAAATGCTCCAAAGATGCCCCAAACATAATCAAAAACTAGTCCCCAGACGATGTTTTGACTATTTTGAATATTCCCCCTGTAGAGGGACAGACGCGACTTAAAGCTAGGGTCAAGACGCTGAAACGGGGACTGCTTTGGGCTCGGAAGGGGCTCGCTCCTCGCTGCTGTGGCTTGATTGCTCCTCTGTCCCTCCTCGTGCACACAGGCTCTCTCCTGGTGACAACAGGGGGCGTCGTTCCTCAGTTCGCGTCCCCTGTTGCAACAGCTTGACTGCACCCCCTGGACCTCTTCTGGGGTGTGATCTGACAAGAACTTCGAGGCGAATCCAGCCATGGCGACGAAGGCCCACAACGGAGAAACCAATATAAAGGGCAGCGGTATCTGCACATTTCCAAGACCTTCGAGGTCTGCGCGGATTCCTGGGATCTGCGCTGGTCCCCCCCTTGAACAGCCTGGCGCAGATCCAAAAGATGCGCGGACCTCCGAAGTTTGAAGTATATGCCCTGCTGTCCTCGTCGACTTTGAGATCGAGCCCAACTGGGGAAATTGGAAGGGCACCGATCTACCGCTACTCCACGGACCTCACCCAGGGTGCGCTCCGACGAAGATGTCGGGGCGAATCCAACGGCGGCGAAGAGGGCCTCCCAGGAGGCCCAAGAGAGGGGAAACAAGGGAAGGGTAGAAACGTGGGCAGCTTTCCCTCCTCGGAGCAGCCGTGGGGGCAGCATCCGCTGAGCCGCCGGCCCTCTCCGCCGCCACGAGGGCGAGCGCCGTGGCCGCGATCAGCCCGCGTGTGAGCATGGCGCGCAGCGACTGGCGCCCGCTGCCCGGGCACGGATCGGTCTTTCTTTTTGGAAACGTGAGCCTTGCAGCTGGAGGAGTCGAGCGTGCGGAGGGGAAAGCTCGCAGCTGGAGGAGGAGGAGGAGGAGGAGGAGGAGGAGGAGGAGGAGGAGGAGGAAGAGGAGGAGGAGGAGGAGGAGGAGGAGGAGGGGGCAGGGTCACGCGAGGCAGGACGGGGGGGCGGCAGGGAGCAGGGAAGGGGCAAGGTAGAGAGAGAGGCAGAGGAGGGGGGGCAGGTAGGGAGGGCGCAAGAGAGAGAGAGAGAGAGAGAGAGAGACACGGACGGGCAGGCAGACGGAGAGGTCTGCGGACCCGCAGGCCGCAGGCCTTCGCCTCGCTCCATCGCGGGGGCCGCCGCCCCGTGGGGCCTCTGCGCGTCAGGCTCTAGCCCGCAGGGACCGTGGCCTGGCGTAGGAGGAGGAGGAGGGGGAGCGAGGAGGACCGCGAGGCGGAGGAAGCTCCGGGGGGCTCCTTCTCCCTCCCCCTTCACCCTCTGAGCTCTTGCATGTGCCCGGCACGGGCTTCTGCATTCTGTTTCACCCCTGGCACGGGCCGGGTCTGCACAGACCGCACCGAGCGAGCGAGCGAGCGAGCGAGTGAGGAAGACAAAGAAGGATGAGCACGGCTCGGAAGCCGGGCAAGGGCTGCTAAATCCGTGGCTGCCAAAATCGACCTCCGGGAAGTTGTCTTCGTCCTTCCGGAAAGAAGCCCGTTGACTGTTTCGCGTGCCGCGCCTCATTCTGGGAAGTTGTTTTTTCCCTCCGGGAGGGCCGTTTTGGCAGCCACGGTGTTAGCAGCCCTCGCCCAGCTTCCGAACGGCGAGGAGCACGAGGAGCAGAGGCAAAGGAGCACGCGGAGGAGGAGGAGGAGGAGGAGGAGGAGGAGCACACGTGGTCTTTCGCCTTCCCGACCCCCGTTCCCGCGGCTGGCACTGGGCGACGGCGTGAGCGAGGGCGCCGGCGACGGCGCTGGCGTCGCTGGCGTGGGCGCAGCAGCAGAAGCTCGCGGCGGAGGAGGAGGAGGAGGAGGAGGAGGAGGAGGAGGAGGAGGAAGGGAAGAGCAGGAACGACACTACTATCACCAGCGCGAGGGAAACAAAGGCTACAACGACGGTCCCCCGAAACACTGTGCAACTGTTAGTTTTTCTCTGCATGTCGGCACGCATGTGTTCAACATTTTCCATATGTGTGCCAATGCGCCGTCAGGGCGCGGCTTCGTTCCTTCGTTCGCTCGTTCGCTCGACGCCGATCCCTGACCTGGGGACAAGAAAAGGCCAGAAATCATGCCCGTTCCTGATCCCACAGGGGTCCGAAGTTCAGCGTCTCGCCTCCTGAGAATGCCTTCTCCTTCTCCGTTTTCCCCCCCTCGCTCGACGCCGATCCCGGACCTGGGGACAAGAAAGGGCCAGACATCAGGCCCGTTCCTGATCCCACAGGGGTCCGAAGTTCAGCGTCTCGCCTCCAGAGAAGGCCTTCTCCTTCTCCTTTTTCCCTCCCTCGCTCGGCGCCGATCCCTGACCTGGGGACAAGAAGAAAGGGCCAGAAATCAGGCCCGTTCCTGATCCCACAGTGGTCCGAATTTCAGCGTCTCGCCTCCTGAGAAGGCCTTCTCCTTCCCCCTCGCTCGACGCCGATCCCTGACCTGAGGACAAGAAAGGGCCAGAAATCAGACCCGTTCCTGATCCCACAGTGGTCCGAAGTTCAGCGTCTCGCCTCCTGAGAAGGCCTTCTCCTTCTCCATTGTCACCCCCTCGCACGACGCCGATCCCTGACCTGGGGATAAGAAAGGGCCAGAAATCAGGCCCATTCCTGATCCCACAGTGGTCCGAATTTCAGCGTCTCGCCTCCTGAGAAGGCCTTCTCCCTCTCCCTTTTCCCCCCCATCGCACGACGCCGATCCCTGACCTGGGGACAAGAAAGGGCCAGACATCAGACCCGTTCCTGATCCCACAGTGGTCCGAATTTCTGCGTCTCGCCTCCTGAGAAGGCCCTCTCCCTCTCCCTTTTCCCCCCTCGCACGACGCCGATTCTTGGCCTTGGGACAAGAAAGGGCCCGAAATCATACCCGTTCCTTATCCGAATTTCAGCGTCTCGCCTCCTGTGAAGGCCTTCTCCTTCTCCTTTCCCCCCCCCCCTCGCTCGACGCCGATCCCTGACCTGGGGACAAGAAAGGGCCAGAAAGCAGACCCGTTCCTGATCACACAGTGGTCCGAAGTTCAGCGTCTCGCCTCCTGAGAAGGCCTTCTCCTTCTCCTTTTTTCCCCCCTCGCTCGACGCCGATCCCTGACCTGGGGACAAGAAAGGGCCAGAAATCAGGCCCGTTCCTGATCCCACAGTGGTCCGAATCTCAGCGTCTCGACTGCACTGTGCCCCCCAGGTGCACGGCTCAAGCGAGGCCCCACTGCGCGAACACTTGTACTTGTTATCTTGTAGTCGTCGCTCCGCCATCGTGCCATCCCTATTGAAGGAGCGCGCCTCCCACAGACCAAACTGTTCCAGCACGGGAGCCAGCCATCGCAGGACATCCTTGCAAACCGAAGGCTTCGGAAGGCCTGCGGCATGGACTTCGACCTGCGCAAGGGGGAGGCAGCGCATAATCTGTCCGTGCTGGAGGAGACACCTCGGACGAAGGGGATGGGGGAAGGAAAGAGTGAGGGAGGGGGAGGGGGAACGTGGGAACGTTGGGAGGGGGGAGGCGGAAGAGGATGGGAGAAGTAGGGGAGGAGGGTGGGGGAGGAGTCATAATAATAGGAGGGAGAGGGGGACGAGGAGAGAAACAAAGGAGTTAGACGGCAGAGGACAACAAGCGACGATACTCAAACAGAAGTGGCACAACGCCACTGGATCCCCACGTGTGGCCTGCGATCACCCCCCCGAAACTTGCTATCCTCGCGGCGACGGGCTCCGCGCGGGGGATGCATATGATATCCTGCAAGCAACCTCAACGCTGTCGAGCACCCCTGGAGGGCGAAAACTGTTTTTTCTCAAAGTTACGGACGGGTGCTAACATGGAGGGGCCTTGTGGAGCATTTGCTCGTGATCTTCGAGTTGCTGCGGGGCTTACCAGCGCTCTGACTGGCGCTGGCGAATACCGTGAGCCAGTCACGTGCTTATAACTTAGACCGCTCCGCTCCGCCGCGATACAGAACTCCACGGCTACGAACTCAACATGGCAATACCTCCATCAACGCACGATGCAGGATATAATGGAATGAGAAGACATGTGTCGTTGCAATATCTCGGGCGGGCGAAACATAATCCAAACGCCAATTGCAACGTCTGTCGCGGATCTCGTGATATCCGTCCCCTGGAGAGGCTGTCTTTTCAGCAATGGCCTGCACAACATTAGATCGCCCAGGGAGCACAACCACTCGCCGGCTACGCTCAGCGCTGCACTGTACAAAGAGCACGGGGGTGGACCAGGAAGAGCACGATGTGGAAGCAATGAAGACGATGCACTTCGGAGGACACGGAGCCAAGCTCTGGTATTTGAAAGAAGCCAGCCTGAGAAATGCTGCCTCCTCCTGAAGTTTCGGGGACGACGGTGCAGTAGCGCACTAGCGACGACGTCCTGCAGCACTGCTCCGATCGGCAATTAGATGGTACCACTGAAACCCGACCACGCACGATGTTGGTGGCTGTGCGGTTGGGTTTCTGCCGACCCCGAACAACTGCTGTTCCCTGAGAAGCTTCACTGCGCCGAACTTGGCCAGGGAGGGGGGAGAGCTCGGAGAAGGGCGAGTTGAGACACTGGAGACTGAAAATCGGCTCGACATCGGTCCCCGGACCCCTTCGGGGGCCCGAACGCACCAATTGTCCGAGCGGCGTCCAGACGTTGCGACGAAGGCCCCCCGAGAAGGCCAAGTACCGGTGTCTCAAACGGCCCTCCGCTGGAGAGCGGCGGCAGCGGCAGGCCCCCGACGTCATGATTAGCTCACCACGTCTTTCCCAAAGGTTTCGACCGCTTCCCTGGGACTGGGATTTTCATCCTGCGTTTTTTTCCCAACCATCCCGTGGTATTGGGTTCTCGTTTTGAAGAGACAGCGCCCCGCGTTCCATACTCCTCCCGCTGCCCCCTCCTCCCTCTCTCCTCCCGTCCCCCCCTCACTTCGGCACACCCCTCACACGTTTCGTGGCACCATGGGGAGCTCCACCGAAGGCACCGGTGGCAGGCTCCGCATGCAGTTTCCCGCCCATTTCGGCATACCCCTCACACTTTTCGTGACACCATAGGGAGCTCCACCGAAGGCCCCAGTGGCAGGCTCCGCATGCGGTTCCTCGCCAATTTCGGCGCACCCCTCACACGTTTCGTGGCCCCATAGGGAGCTCCACCGAAGGCCCCGGTGGCAGGCTCCGCATGCGGTTCCCCGCCCATTTCGGCACACCCCTCACACGCTTCGTGGCCCCATAGGGAGCTCCACCGAAGGCCCTGGTGGCAGGCTCCGCATGCGGTTTCCCGCCCATTTCGGCACACCCCTCACATGTTTCGTGGCCCCACAGGGAGCTCCACCGAAGGCCCCAGTTGCATTCTCCGTATGCGGTTCCCCGCCCATTTCGGCACACCCCTCGCACGGCCCCGTCGGGAGGCCCGTCGAACGATGGACTCAGAACGCGATATCCACAACTGCTTATGGTTGGGTGCTTCGTCAGGCTAATTTTTGAAGGCCCCGAGGCCCAGCAAGGGCCCGCGAGGCCGAAAATTGAGCAAACCCTCCCGTCGTGATATTTTTCTTTTCTTGAGGGGGTCTGGGAAGATAGGGCGTCGCCGAATGCGGGGGCGATGGATGAGGGGAGAAAGGTGCACTTCTCGGGCCCGAAAGGCCCCCTTTGGGGGGCCCTCAATGGCTGCTTTTCTGCAGCCCTCGCTGCCCCCTAGCCTTCGGGTTTGCTAAGGGTGCCCCTGGCTGTGCCCCCAGCTAGTAGCTCAATGTTGTAGCCCCTGGGGCCCTCTGGGCCTCGTGAGGGGTGCTCTGGAGGCCGTGAGGGCCTCCTTGGACATCCTGGGGCATCTTGGGCCAAGGGAACTCCTTGCAACAATCGACACCTGTCGCCCCCTCTACATAGCGCAACGCCCAAGAGGAATCCTCCTGCTCCTCCTCCTCCAGCTCCTCCTGCTGCTCCTCCTCCTCCTCCTCCTCCTCCTCCTCCTCCTCCTCCACCTCCTCCTCCTCCTCCTCTCCTCCTCCTCCCTCCTCCTCCCTCCTCCTCCTCCTCCTCCTCCTCCCTCCCTCCTCCTCCTCCTCCTCCCTCCTCCTCCTCCTCCTCCTCCTCCTCCTCCTCCTCTCCTCCCTCCTCCTCCTCCTCCTCCTCCTCTCCTCCTCCTCCTCCTCCTCCTCCTCCTCCTCCTCACCTCCGCCTCCGCCTCCGCGCTCCTCTCCTCCTCCTCCTCCTCCTCCTCCTCCTCCTCCTCCTCTGGCTCCGCCCCATCCTCCCCGTCCTCCCCGCCTCCCCTCCTCCTGCGCCTCCGGCCGCGCCCCGCGGGCCGCGCGCGCATCCCCGCGCGAAAGCGGAGCCGCGGGCCGCCTCACGCCCAGACCTCCGGGCAGCGCCAGGTCCTCCCGGCTTCGCGCTGGGGCGCGCGCTGCCCCGGGGCGCTCGACCGCTCCTCCTCCTCCTCCTCCTCCTCTTCCTCCTCCTCCTCCTCCTCCTCCTCCTCCTCCTCCCCTCCTCCTCCTCTTCCTCCTCCTCCTCCTCCTCCTATCCTCCTCCTCCTCCTCCTCCTCCTCCTCCTCCTCCTCCCTCCTCCTCCTCCTCCTCCTCCTCCTCCTCCTCCCTCCTCCTCCTCCCCTCCCCTCCTCTCCTCCTCCTCCTCTCTCCGCCTCCTCCTCCCCTCCTCCTCCTCCTCTCCTCCTCCTCCTCCTCTCCTCCTCCTCCTCCTCCTCCTCCTCCCTTTCCTCCCCTCCTCCTCCCTCCTCCTCCTCCTCCTCTCCTCCCTTTCCTCCTCCGCCTCCTCCTCCTCCCTCCTCAGCTCCTTCTGCTCCGCCTCCTGCTTTCGCTCCTGCTCCTGCTCCTGCTCCTGCCTGCTCCTGCTCCTCCTCCTCCGTCAGCTCTCCTGCTCCTCCTGTTCCTCCTCTTCCTCCTCTTCCTCCTCCAGATCCTCTTGCTCCTCCTCCTCCTCCTCCTCCTCCTCCTCCTCCTCCTCCTCTCTCCTCCTCCTCCTCCTCCTCCTCCTCCTCGTCCTCCTCCTCCTCCTCCTCCTCCTCCTCCTCTTCCTCCTGCTGCTGCTGCACCGATGAAAAGAGTGTTCCGAATCGTCCACGAAGTGAATTAGGGAGGGGCCTCACCTCACCGCACCGCCGAGTGCACAGTCGTGCTGCTGCACAAAATCATACAATGGGTCGAAGAGGAACGTAAAAGCTCAGGGCCTCCTCCGGAATGTTATAACCAGGCAAACCTTTTGGCAGTCCTGGAGCTACCGCATCTAACACTACCATCGCCAGGACACGCGACAGATCTGATGGGTATTCCTTCAGAGAAGCGGTCCGATATTGTCCCCCAAATCGTCCTGTAGCCGCGGGGTGGCCCCCCCTATGCTGACACCTCCCTCGCCCTGGGCTACTGTTCAACAGCCGCTGGAACCCTGGGATATTGACCGACAGCAGAGTCGTCGGTTTGAGATGCTTACACGAGAACATACACTGGTCGACGTCATGGGCGGCGACCCCTGGGAGACTCCTGATCCACGCCATTTCTTCTAACTTCCAACTCGATGCAGCCAACGGCTGCCAGTAGGGCACAGCAGGGTGCTCCATAATCATGCTCACCCTGGTGGCCACCGCGGCGGCCAAAAACCTCATAGTCGTTCTGAGAAGAAGGTTCCCGATCTCGACCTGACGCTGTTCCTTCTCCGTCAGGCCCCACTCCCCCCACGGCCGAACGCGGCTCCGAACTGGCCGAGGTCCCTCTCCCGCTTCCAACTGCAGGGCGGCCCCGCGAGCACCGCGGCAACCACACCCGAGGCCATAAGGCCTAGCCAGTAGCAGATCGAGGCCTCCCTCGAGAGATCCCCCCATACGCGGTCATTCGCCACGTCGAGCGACAAGACCCACAGGGGCCGAGACTCATGAGCACACACATTTACTTCTTCAACCCAATGCTGCACATCTCCCCACCTCCTCCTTCCTGAGAACAAGTGAAGCACGAAAAAGTAGCTGAGCCTCCCTCTGTCCGGGCCGTGTCGGGCATGCTGATCAGCCTCCCCCCCGTCCTCCTCCTCCCCCTCAGCGGACGAGACCAGGGCGGCCGACTCGGCCATTTCATCACCAGGACCTGCACGCGCTGGGACGGGCGGGGCGGCCGCCGCGGCCGTTTCCTCAGCTTCTAGAACACCGGGGGGAGCAGGCGCGGGGCCCCCAACTGGCCCTTCGCCAGCCTCGCCCTGCACATCCTCCTCCCTCACCAGAGGCATACCAGGCCCTATGATCTTGACCGCAGGCAGCAACGCTTTTTCCTCATAGAACCCTGCAGCGCGCAACCGACCGCTGTCGGCCGCGTCCACATCTTTAGCGGCCACGCGGTCCGCATCCGAAAGAGGGGCGAAGAAGCCCCGCAAAGCCCGAAGACACCCCCTACACCTGTGCCTGAGGTGCCTCACGAGCCTCAACCGAATATGGAACTCCGTGCGGCACGCGGCGCACACAGATCCGTGGGCAAAGCGCTGAGGCTCATCCAGCTCGGGGTGCACCTTACTCAAGTGTGACTTCCACCCCTGGGCCGTATTAAAAGCCCGTCCGCACTCGTAGCAGTGAAACCCTTCCTGCTCACACCGGGGGGGCCCGACCGAAGGGGGGGAGGGGTAACCCAGCCTCTAGGGCCGTCGCACACAGCTCACGCCGCCACACCTTCCGATGGCATTCATCTATCAAAAAGAACCTCCGCCCCTTCCACCCATAGGGAGCTCCACCGAAGGCCCCAGCGGCTGCGGGCGCATGGCGGCACCGCACCCATTTCGGCACACCCCTCACACGCTTCGTGGCCCCATAGGGAGCTCCACCGAAGGCCCCAGTGGCTGCGGGCGCATGGCGGCGCAGGCCCATTTCGGCACACCCCTCACACGTTTCGTGGCTCCATAGGGAGCTCCACCGAAGGCCCCAGTGGCTGCGTTGGCATTGCGGCACCGCACCTATTTCGGCACACCCCTCACACGTTTCGTGGCCCCATAGGGAGCTCCACCGAGGGCCCCAGTGGCTGCGGGCGCATGGCGGCACCGCACCCATTTCGGCACACCCTTCACACGTTTCGTCGCCGAGGGCCCAGGACAGCGTTTCGTGGCCCCAAAGGGAGCTCCACCGAAGGCCCCAGTGCTACCGCCCGCATGCGTCCCGTACGCCCAGGACAGCGTCTCGTGGCTCCATAGGGAGCTCCACCAAAGGCCCCAGTGCTACCGCCCGCATGCGCCCCGTACGCCCAGGACAGCGTTTCGTGGCACGCCTGTCGTGGCCCCATAAGGAGCCCCACCGAAAGCGGCACCCACAAAGCGTTATCCACAATTGCATATGGTTGGGTCCTTCGCCAAGAAAATCCCCCATATCCTAAGATGGGGTTCTTGTTATTACTTGGACGCCTCCTACTGCCTCTTCCTCCTCCTCTTTCCTCCTCCCCTCCTCATACTCAGACTTACTCATACTCAGACTTACTCATACTCAGACCTACTCATACTCAGACTTACTCACACTCAGACATACTCATACACAGACTTACTCATACACAGACTTACTCACACCCAGACGTACTCATACACAGACTTACTCATACAAGACTTACTCATACACAGTATTACTCATACTCAGACTTACTCATACCCAGGCGTACACATACACAGACTTTCTCATACACAGACCTACTCATACCCAGACTTACTCATACACAGACTTACTCATACACAGACTTACTACTCATACTCAGATACTCATACTCAGACCTACTCTACTCAGACTTACTCAACACACATCAGATTTGGAGGATGTCTCAAGCGGGGCGCTGGTTTCAGCACCCCTAAGGGGAGCCGCCAGGGGTGGTTGCACGGGCTCGTTCGCGCCATTTTGTGGGGATGTCTCAGGCGGTTTGCCTGTTTCTGGGCTCAACATCCTTCGCTTGGAGAGCAGATTGTGAGGCGGCGGTTTTCAGCACCCCTGGTGGTTGCACGGGCTCGTTCGCGGCCATTTTGTGGGGATGTCTCAACATCCTTCGCTTGGAGCAGATTTGGAGTGATGTCTCAGGCGAGGCGCTCATTTTCACCCGCCAGGGGTGGGCCAGATTTTGAGCGATGTCTCGATCGGTTTGCTTGTTTTGGTGGCCAGGCTCGTGGGCGCAGATTCTTCTCAGGATGCCACAGGAGGCTCCAACAGGCTCCAGGAGGCCCCAGGAGACCACATGAGGTCCCAGGAGGCATCAGGAGGCCACAGAAAGACTCAAGAGGCCACAGGATGTCCCAAGAGGCTCCAGGAGGCCCCAGGAAGCTCCAGAAGGCCTCAGGAAACCACAGGAGGCCCCAGGAGGCAACAGGAAGCGCCAGGAGGCCTCGGAAGGCAACAGGAGGCCCCGAGAGGCCCCAGGAGCAGGAGGCCTCAGAAGGCAACAGGAGTGGCTCCAATCCCATGTGTTTTACGTATGCTCCTATCGATTGGGCCTCACCTGGAGCACGATTCTTTGATGTTCTACGTATGTTTCTATAGATGGTCCTTCTCCTGTGTACACAATCCTAAATGTTTTACTCATGTTCCTATGTATTGGGCCTCTCCTGGGGCACGAGTCCTTGGTGTTTTACGCGTGTTCCTATAGATTGCCCTTCTCCTGTGGCTCTAATCCGCAATGTTTTATGTACGTCTGTTGCTATAGATTGCGCCTCTCCTGGGGCACGAAACCTTCCTAGGAGGTCCCAGGAGGTCCCAAGAGGCTCCTGGAGACCCCAGGAAGCCCCAGTAGGTTTCAGGAGGCCCCAGGAGGCCCCAGGCTCATGCACAGAGACGCGCTCGTACTACTGAGGCTCATTCACACTCCAATTCATTCGCAGTTAGATTGATGTCCAGACCGTCACAACTGAAGCCCGTTAATATTCGAAAGCTCTTGCGCCTAGACATTCACGGCGGACAGGTCCATGCGAGTAGATGCACATATGGGGAGCTCCACGCAGTGAATAATTAACTATTTTTGAAGATTCCCCTCTGTAAAGGGACAAGCCCGACTTAACCCTAACCCATAACCCCGGCTGCGGGAGGTTTCGATTGGACCGGAGACTTGGGGCCTGACCCTGGGATGCACTATGGGGGGGGGGCCCATCCTCGATAATCAGGGGCTCGTCCGAAGAGCCTTCCTGGGGCGTATCCCCAGGTTTCCCTCCTGTTCTGAGCCCCCTCACTCTGCGTCGGCAGGTCGGGGACTGGGGGAGGCAAGCCGCCTGCGAACATCCGCTCAGAGTCGGTCCCTGGACACCTGCCGGGGCCCGCGCGGACCCGATCCACCGAGGCAAAACCCCGCCGCGGCCACGGGGAGCCTCCCGGAGGCCCAGAGAGGAGGCCCCCCGAGCCGCCCAGCACCGACGAGAGCGCGCGAGGCCCTCGACCTCCGAGCGTCCAGGGGGCCGCGATTGCGGGCACGAGGGAAGTCAAGAGGAGACGAAGCCGGGACGAGGCCAGATTCGGGTGAGGGCAAATCCTCCTCCTCCTCCTCCTCCTCCTCCTCCTCCTCCTCCTCCTCCTCCTCCTCCTCCTCCTCCTCCCTCTGAGATCCCGCGGCTCCGGAGGTGGCCTCGGGCGCCGCGGCCTTCTCAGAGCGTTCCGGAACGCTCTGAGAGTGTTCCAGAACGCTCTGGAGTGGATTGACCCTCGTCCTAGCCCCGCCCCCGAACCTCCGAACTTCCACGGGCCGCGATTGCGGGCACGATTTGAATCCACGTCTCGGCCACGCGCAAGAGGCAAGAGTGACCTTCAGTGCGCAACTTGCGGGACGCGCGAGAGGGCCAAGCCCAGGCAGGGCGGCAGAAGCAGCTGCTGACGCATCGCATTTAGCCTTCTGGGGACCCCAGTGTGCCCCCACCAAAAGTTACTCCGACGAAAAGGTCGCTCTTACGTGTGGCCGAAGAGCCGCTGCGTCTTGGACATTCCGGGAGGGGGCGCCAAGAGGAAAAGGCGCAGTGGCTATGGTTAAACATCTGGCCTTCAAGGACTACTATTGTTACGCATATCCACTGCGCCTCTGATTTCTGAGGAAGGCAGCTCGGAACTCCGAGACGTTGTGGCTATGGGTGCACATCTTGCCCGCACAAGCCGCCGACAACCGACGCAACCGCCCAAAAAACTTCGTTATGTTGAATATGCGGGGGTCATTGTATGTCCCGTCGCGCCGCGATCCGCGTCGAACCCATGCCAAATACATGTCGAACGCGCCGAATCCGGTAAGAATCGAATCCATGTCGAAGACGTCTCGAATCCACGTCGTACCCGCTTCGAACCCGCATCGGGGTACAAGAAAAGACCGTCACGTACAGAAAAGGCAAGGTCACCTGAAAATGCGAAATAACAGTCGAGCTGCGAACTTCCAAGGGTCGCAATCCCCCCTTGCGGTCAAACACTTTTCGATTGCGTGTCGCCACCGCGGGCCCAGCGACACGCTGTGCCTTGCAAGCGGATGGCGCTCCGCTCCGCTCCACGGGGCGGGAGGCCGGGAAATGGTCGGGACATTGGCGCTAGGGGACCCGCAAAAGGAGAACCAGAACCGGCGGTAAGCGATCGATGTGTTATCCATGCCCTTGCCCACGCCAACGGCCCACGAGGGGCCAGAGCGGGGATGTGGAATCAAAACCCCCTGGCCTCCGACGCCACTCGTTCTAGTCCGTGCCCTTGTGCCCCTGGCGCCCGGCGCGGGGCCGCAGCGGTCGCATGGATCGAACGCAAATCGCCGAAGCGGAGCGACACGCTGTCCAGGAAAATCCCAGCCCTGCCCGTGCCACCGAGGAGGGGGCCACATGCGAACCCTACCCCTGCCCCCCACGATTCCCGAGCGAAGTGAACCCCACCCTCCCCCTCAGAAATCGTGGGGGGTAGGGGTAGGGTTCGCATGTGGCCCCCTAACCGAGGAGGGCCGCCCGACGCGGCCCCGGCAAATTGGTTTTTCCTTCCGGGAGAAAGATGTTTTCTCCCGGGAAGTTGTTTCTTCCTTCCGGGCGGGCCGCTTGAGCAGCCACGGTTTGGGCAGCCCTCGCCCAGCTTTCGAGACACGCTGTCCAAAAAATGCCGGCCCTGCCCGTGCCACCGAGGAGGGCCGCCCGGCGCGGCCCCGTCCCGCGGCCCGTCAGCCGCTCGACGCACTGCCGCGGCGACAGCGCGGCGGAGCCCGAGGCCGGGCGCGCCCGCGGGGTGTGCCCTGCGCGGGGCCGGGCGCAGGGCCGCGCGTCGGGGAGCGGAGGGGTGGGGGTCGATGGCTCGTCGTCGTCCTCCTCCTCTTCCTGCTCCTGCTCCTGCTCGTCCTCCTCCTCCTCCTCCTCCTCCTCCTCCTCCTCCTCCTCCTCCTCCTTCTCCTGCTCCTCCTTCTCCTCCTCCTCCTGCTCCTCCTCCTCCTCCTGCTCCTGCTGCTCCTGCTGCTCCTGCTGCTCCTCCTCCTCCTCCTCCTGCTGCTCCTCCTCCTCCTCCTCCTCCTCCTCCTCCTCCTCCTCCTGCGCTCGTGCCCAGGGCAGAGTGCAGATCAGCCAAAGCTGATGCCGCCGCCACTGCGAGCGCTGCTGCTACTGGGTCTGCTGCTGCGACCGCCGCTGTTAGGCGGGGGCGGCGGCGGGCAATACGGCACTCGCGCGAAGAGCACAGCACAGGGAGCGGGACGGTTCCTACTCCTCCTTCTCCTGCTCCTGCTCCTCCTCCTCCTCCTCCTCCACCTCCTCATCCTCCTCCTGCGCGTAGCCCTGAAAGCACTGGTCGCGGTGGTCACAGCAGCACATGCAACGTCAGAGCAAGGGGCACGCATGTGGACAGGTGGAACAAGATGTGAGATCATGCGCAGGTGGCCTGCAGCGCCGCCGCGAGCGGTTCGAGCCTCGATTCCTTTTCGCTACGTTCAACTCTACCCTGTCGCGCCTCCAGACGTGCTGATAAACCAATCCGGGCGTCTCGCCTCAGAGGTCCGCGCCATGCAAGATCCTTAAGCAAGGTATTAGCAACACTTTCACGGATGGAGGGCGGGTCGCTTTCAAAATGATGAGAGCCGCGCACGTCTTACAAATTGCAAGAGGTTCGCTCATGGACGGCGTCCCGCTTTCAACATGTGGTATCGCTTTAGCGCCGCGCGCATTCGTCTCTTAAAATTGCAAAAGCTTCTCGGGTGGAAAACGGGCCGTTTTCGAAATGTGGCTCTCGCCTGAGGGCCGCGCACCTTCGTCTTAAGAGCGCATACTTGTCTTCAGGTCTTACAGCCAATACCACATCTATCATGGCAAACGTGATAAAAAGCGGTGTCATGGACAGGTGTAATATTCGCATATCGCAGCAATTACGTTGATTCGTGGTGCTGAAGTCCCTAAACTGGTGTTATGGCAGGGTTCATCAGGATGGTCCAGACGGACCAGTGAGGTTCCCAGTGGCGTTGAAGTCCCAGGGAAGCTGCTCTGGCACGGATCAGGAGTTTCAAACGTGTGTGTTTCAACGGGCCTCTGCGGCCGACCCGTCTGTCTCCTTCATCTCTTCTGCATGCTGGGCAACTCGCTCTTCGGTGTCGCCGCGTAGCTCTATCGCTGGTGCAACCATTCTGCCTCGCCGCCGACGAAAAGTTCCAACGGGGCAGTTCCGTCAGCGGAAATGAATCCTTGCACGGGCCTGCTACATCGTTGATGAGTCTTGTGTTTGCCCAAGTTTTCCTCCTCCTCCTCTACCTACCCTTGCTCCTCGAAGCCTCGAAGCCGTTGCCACAACCCCGCGAACACCATCGATGGTGGGCGGGGCGGGAACACTAGGGAAAATGGTTCGGTCTGTCCGTTGGTAGGGCCGACAAGCCTGACGACGGGGGTGGGCGGGAAAGGACGACACGGGTGGCCGAAGTTATCATCCTCTTCCTCCTCCTCCTCCTCCTCCTCCTCCTCCTCCCCCTCCTCCTCTGGACGCGAGAAACTCGCACGAAAAAAACGGATAAGATGCCCAGCAGCAAGAGTTACCCAAAACAGACAGCCGCCGCTGTCGGGCAGGCGGCTTTCTATCTTGAGTGGGCAACGTGCACGGCGACACCGGCAGCGAGCCCTGTTCAAAACGAGCAGGAATTGATGGCGGTCGTCTTCGCACCCAGTCTTTTCGTACCCGTTTCGATCGTGCGGGTCCTGTTCCTCCTCCTCCTCGTCCTCGTCCTCCTCGTCGTCCTCCTCCTCCTCCTCCTCCTCCAGGGGGGCGAGGCATCCATGTCCCCCCAGCACCCCCCTCCTCCTCATCATCATCCCTGCGTCCTCCTCCTCCCCATACTACTCCTCTTTTTTATGTTGATATGCTTCTTCTTATTATGTGTATTACTTTTCCTCATCCTCGTCCTTCTCCTCCTCCTCCCCTCCTCATCCTCCCCCTCCTCCTCGTCATCATTCTTCTCCCGATCCTACTCCCCCTCCGCCCTCCCTGTGGTGTCGCCCCCCCTTCCACCGATCCTGGATCCTCGGGCCCCGCCACCAAGCGTCTGCTGACAGTGCTGAGTCTCAGGGTGGGCCCCACGCACACAAACACACGCGCACACACAAATACACGCGCACACACAGAGACACATCCGCACACGCCCTCACACACCCTCTTACACACATACACACACACACGCACACACACACACACACGCACACGCACACACGTACACATGCGCACACACGCACACACACACACACACACACACACACACACGCAGGCACACTCGCGCACACACACACACACACCACACACACAAAACACAACGCACAAAACACAACAGACACCACACACACCACATACACACACACACGCGCACCACAATCACACACTCACATACTCGGACACACGCTTCCCTCCGCCTGCCACGTGGCGTCACCGTAACTAAATATAGCAACATTCACCAGCTACCGTGAACTTCACCAAGCGTTGCAGGTGGGGGGGGAAGGCTGCGCGAGGCGAGCCAGCGTGCAGGGAATGGGTGGGCCTCACTCACGCGCACACACACATTCACAGAAGCCGCGCCTGGACAGAGCACGGGCAGATCGTCCCCATAACAAAGTCGGGAGCGGCCAAGAAAGGGGTGTCCAAGAGGGGGGGGTGCAAATCATGACCGGCGGCATGTGCGCGGCCCAGCGGGGGGACCAGGGACGTAACGAAGTGAGAAGAGGCGCCATGAATCTTGGGAAATATCATGGCCCCCGCCATGATATCTAACCCCCCCAGTCATCACCCCCCTCTTTGCCGCCCCCGACAAAGCACATGCATCAATGAATGCAAATTGGGCTCCAGGGAGGCCCGAGAGCAGAACCTCCGGGACCCGCTTCGCTCACTCCAAGACCCGTTCCCCGACACCCGTCGATTTAATCGTTGTCCATCTGCGGCCCGAGAGGGCCCGAGAAGAAACGACTGTTCGCCCTGGCAACTTTGTTTGGCTGTCCCGTGTCCCGAAAAGGGCCCTTCGAGGGCCAGAGCCAGGGAACAATCTCTGGGTGAACGTCTGATGTCGTCGGAGACCTGGTTCCCCTCGGGAACAGGGACAGGAGGGGAAACCTCAAGCATGAATCGGCGACAGATCGCCGACCGATCGGCGATGTGCCCAGGATAGCTGAAGCCGCATGGTTCTGGGAGGGGCGGGCCATCGGCGACGAGCAGGCGATGAGCCCTCCCCGAGTCGATCCCCCCCCGACGCTACCCCGGAGGCCACGGGGAGCCCGAAAGCAACCCCCAAAACCCTCCGGGGCCCGTGCCCCCGAGAACGAGGACCCGCTCCTGGCGGCCGAAGAAAGCCCTGACGTCCGCCGCTCCGGCTTCCCCACACCCAGAAGAAGAAACCACACCAGAGCAAAGCCCCAACCATGGGATGATCGGTTTCGCTGGGGAGAACGACCGGGAACTCGGGAGCCCAGAACCCACCGAAATCGGCCCGGACCCAACAACCGGGAACCCAGGAGCCCGGAACCGGGAACCCTGGAATCCAGCCTGCTACCAAAATCGGCGGGGAACTTTCGCCAAATCTTTCAACTTCCGCTAGGACCCCTTCAATGCAAGCACTGATAGGGGAAAAACGTCATAAGCATAAACTTTTCGCGCTCCGCGCGGATTTCTTGGACCTGCTCTGGGCCGCCCTCGGCGGCGCTTTCGGTGCGGGAGGGGGGTCCAGCGCAGATCCAAGAGGTCCGCGCGGAGCGCCAAAAGTTCATGTTTATGCCATTTTTCCTTCTTCGAAAACTGTGCCCCCAGAGCCCCCGACCGCTAACCCCATGGATAGCTTTCCGCCCCATGCAGATGAATTCGCGATGGCCCTGGAGCCCGAACACGACCCCCCCCCGTGGGCCGAGAGCCATGAAAGAGCTACTGACGGGAATGACAGAGCATCTCGTCGGAGACTCCGGTTCCCCCGAGGACCTGCTTCATTGCTGGCGGCCGACGCGACCTTGGGCAAGAGCGACTTTTGGTGCGCGGCCTTGGGCGGGGCGCGGCCTTCCGGTACGCATTCAGCATCGCAGTCGGCGATCGGGGGACCACAACATGCCCGCACCAGAGGTCACTCTCTGCGAAGGGCCCCTCCGTGCGTGGACATCGACCAGGGACCGACCGTCCCGGCATTCCTGTAGTCCTGCCACGAAATGTTCTTAGAACCCAAAAATTGTCTAAGAACAAAACAATGTTCTTAGAGAATAAACCCGCTGTGCTAAACCAAGACAGGCTCCGCCAGAAACTTTTTAAGAACATTACGTGGACACCACAAAAGGTTCTTAGAACACTGTTTGGTAGGGCTATAGGCACGCCGGGACGCTTCGCCACTGCTTGACTCCTTGCGTGCACAGGCGGCCCAACGGGAGCGCGCCTCTTCCAGTGCTGAAGATGCGCGGCGTGTCCTCGTAGGCCCCGCGCGCGCCGCACCGGCCGTCGTCGCCGCACGGCGTCACGTGGGCGGTAGCCTTCGGGTGGGGAGCGCAAGGTGGTTCCGCCTCCGCCCTGCTCCGCCCTCGCCACCCCTGCCTCGCACTCCGAAGTAGGCAGCTCGCGAGCCTAATGGCCCTCCTTCGCCTCCATCGCCGTCCTTGGCTCTCGCCTCCCGGCCGAGTTCGCACGCGGTCCTCCCTCGCACTTCCTGAGTAGGCAGCTCGCGGGCCTCATCGCCCTCCTTCGCCTCCCTCGCCATCCTTGGCCCTCGCCGCGCGGCCGAACTCGACGAGGCGGTCAACCCCTGCGCAGTGGGCGACTGGCCAAGGGGGGGGAAACATCGACGCAGAATCCGCGATCCATCGCCGATAGATCAGTTGATGGAAGCCAACTCGGGTCTCGAGCCTCTGAAAACTTGCGAGGTCTTCCGACACCTCGGGGGCGTCCAAGGCACGGGCGAGCAGGAGGGGGCTCTCACATTCTGACTTGAAAGCTGTGCGCGGACGAGGGGGTGGCATGGAGCGCATTGAAAGAGGAAGGATTGGACATCAAACCTGGGGGTACATCATGGCCCCAGCCATGAGATCTGACCCCCTTGTTGTCCTCACCCCCCTCTTGGCCACCCCCGAAGAACTGCTTCTCTTCCGTCCTCATCCGTCCCGACCGCCCTGGGGGGCACCGGCTCAACGGCTGGAATCAGCGGCACATCGCCGAACATCCATCGGCGATGGGCCCCGATAGCGGCTCCGCACGGGACGGGCTGGCTGTCGATGGGCGGATGGGGGTCGATAAGGTCCCCCCCACTGCGCCTCCCCCCTGGGAGCCTCCTCGATGGGGTCGGAGTAGATGGGGTCGGAGGACTACGCCGCATCGCTGATGTATCGCCGATGCATCGGGGATGCACCAACGATGCATCGGCGACGTCGGCGATGCATCGGCGACGTCGGCGTGGAGAAAATCAGGCTCGGCATCGAGCCGCATCGCCGATGCATCGGCGATGCGGCGCGATCCTCCGACCCCTTCTACTCCGATCCCATCTAGAAGGCCTAGACCCCCCCACCCTCGCATGCCCAGAGGCCCCTGAGGCCCCCAGGGGCCCCTCTCCCACAGGACCCGGCCCCTTCGAAGGCGACAGGAGAGAAGTCCCTGACATCGGGCGATCTGAGCTCCCAATCAACGCCCTGAGCCTGAGCCTCCCGCCAAAACGTGTGGGACGGAACCCAGACCAACTGGATGTTCTCACGGCCGATGCCTCCCATACACGGACCCAAATCTCTGAATACGGGCGCGTCACTCTACAGCAGACCTCCGGGCCCGCAGCAACGCCATCCGCGACCTCCTCCTCCTGTTCCTCCTCTGCCTCTGGGGGTCGATGCATCCCCCCCCCGAGCCAGTCCCCCCCCTGACGTTTTTTTGTGGTTTCCGGGCCATAGCTCGAGCCTCTGGCGACCGCTCGGGACGATCCGTGTGCCCCCAAAACTCTCTTGGCGAGGCGCAACTGCCGGAACGCATCCCGAAGCAGCGAACCCTCCAAGAACCGACGGAAGCTTTTGCGAACTCCCCCCTGAGCCCATGCTCCCCTGATTAGAGGCCTCCCAGATGAGGTATCGCGCCGCATCGCCAATGCATCATCGATAAATCGGCGATGCGTCGGCGATGTCGGCGATGTCGGCGATGCATCGGCGCCATCGGCGTTTAGAAATTCGGGCTCCACATCGAGCCGCATCACCGATGCATCGGCGACGCGGCGCGATCCGACGACTCCATGTACTTGGACCCTGCGGTCAGACACTGCCACAAAATTACATGTCGCTGTGGCGGTCACGGCGACACGTTATGCCCTGCGAGCGGATAACGTGTCGCTCCGCACCGCGGGGCGGGAGACTTCGAACAACTCGAGACGTTCACGTTTGGGAGCTGGGGGCACGAGGATGGGGGAGGGGGAGGAGGAGGAGGAGGAAGAGGAGGAGGAGGAGGAGGAGGAGGAGGAGGAGGAGGAGGAGGAAGAGGAGGAGGAGGAGGAGGGGGAGGAGGAGGAGGAGGGGGAGGGAGGAGGAGGAGGGGGAGGAGGAGGAGGAGGAGGAGGAGGAGGAGGAGGAGGGCGGAACGAGGAGGGGGAGGTGGGGGCGTGGGTAGCATGTCGCGCCGAAGCGTGGTGGGCCAGAGAGCCGGCGGCGCGACACGCCACGCCAAACTGCCTGGCCGCATCTGTGAGGCCAAAGGGCACCGGCCCCGCTGCTGCCAGGGGTTCGACCAGAATTTCGAGGCGAATCCGACGGCGACGACGAGGGCCTGCCAGGAGGCCCAAACAGGCGAGGAGGAGGAGGTAAAGGCAGTTGCAACAACATGAGTACCTGTGCCTCCTCTGAAAACCTGGGGGGCCTAGGCCCCTTCCCCCGACGCCCCCCCATCCCCCGGGGGCCAGGCACCCCTCCTCTCTTCCTCCGCTCTTCTTCCCCTTCCTCCTCCTCCTCCTCCTCCTCCTCCTCCTCCTCCTCCTCCTCTCCTCCTCTCCTCCTCCTCCTCCTTCCTCCTTCCTTCTCTCCTGCTCCTGCTCCTGCTCCTGCTCCTCCTCCTCCTCCTCCTCCTCCTCCTCCTCCTCCTCCTCCTCCTCCTCCTCCCCGGGGGGCGCCCGAAAACGGTCCCCGACGACGGCGCGCGCCGATGCCCCCCGGCGGGGCCCTCGCCTGCGGCGTGCGCGAGGTGGGCCGGCGAGCACTGGCGGCCCGGCGGGTGCCTGCCCCACGGCCACCGCCCACGCCGCCGGGACAAGTTCAGAGGAGGAGGAGGAGGAGGAGGAGGAGGAGGAGAAGGAGGAGGAGGAGGAGGAGGCAGGAGGAGGAGAAGGAGGAGGAGAAGGAGGAGGACCACATGGATCGCAGTGAAGCGGTCGAGGAGGAGGAGGAGGAGGAGGAGGAGGAGGAGGAGGAGGACACTCGCCCAGGGGGACGGCAAAGAATTAGGCCGACCCGACCCTACTTCAATACCGAAGCAGGGTTCGGAGGCACCAGACGATTCAGCCTGTCGCGCTGAAGAGGACAGGCGCTACACATGACTGCACGTTCCCCTGACACCAAGAAAAAATGCTACCTGCGAACATCGCCCACAGGCGAACAACAAACAGATACAGCATGTCCTGCGAAATGCGATGCACACCAACCTGCGACACGCCATGCGAAAGTCATGCTACAAACAATTTGGCCTCCCGGGGCCCTACCCGGGCCCCAAGAACGTCAGAATTCGACTCGGGATGATTCGGCCTCCCAGGGCCCCTACCGGGCCACGGGAGCGTACCGGGCCCTGGGACCGTCAGACATCCGCGGAGTGTCCATGTTGGAACCCAACGACGTCTTGATTTTTTCAAAACGCAATCCCCCAAAATCCCGACCCTTTCCACGGGACTGGCTTTTCACCCTGATTCGTTTCTCGACGGTCCCGAGGCCCGGTGAGGGCCCCCAGAGGCCGAAACTGACGAAATCCAATCCCGTCCTGATGCTTTCACGGCGTGATCATGTCTGGGAAATGAACGCGACGTTTCAATTCTTGGATCAACAATGCTGGACAGGTCCGTCCTGTGCCCAAGATAGGAGTATACGTCCTGCGTCCACCCCTCAGCCTGCCTGGTGCACGTACACAACATTGGAAAACGGATCCTCTGCGGCGGACCTTGACTAACAAGTGGAATGGCAATGCGTACACTAGGGGATCAAACAATCACATACACGACGGTCGGAAGAAGTAGGTAAAAACATGAAGCAGGAAGGCGGATCAAGTGCATTGGGTCCAGGCCCCCCCAGAGAACAACAAAACACAGCAAAGGCGTGGCGATTCTTGACGTAGGAAGGCGCCTGAAGTAGATTCGGACCTGGGACCCAATAATACCTACTTTCAACAACCGGCGGCGTGTACCCGTGGCCCGCATGCAAGCCACACGTGATCCGCGTGTGGTCCGCCTGCGGCCAGCCTGCAACCTCCTTGGCTCAAAAAAAATACAATCGGGGCGGTGACCTAAGGAACCCGAAATAAGGAACGAGGCCCCTTCTGTCCAGAAGTTGAATTTCGATTTCCCATCGAGAACCAGAGGAAAACGTTAGGCAAACTGTGGAACAATCAAGGAACACGGAGCCCCTCCCCAACGAAAAGAGTTCCTTCTCCAGCGACCCGACCGTATGGTCAGACAATCGTCCCCTCTCTGTGAACTAGAGCCACCCTGCCTCGAGTGATGATCCTGGGGCAGTTGCCTTCGTGCAGGGGCCACCGAGGACGCGAGTCCTTGAAACCAATCGTGCTCCCTCACTCTTGTCCCTAACTGCGGGGCTTACTGAGCTATTGCAATAGACGCATTTTGCACCACAAGCAGGGAGGGGGGCAATCCTGCCGCATGATGCAATGCCATCTGCGTCCTATCACGTGATCCCATGGTGAAGAAACGGTAGCACGCGAAATGCTGTGTAAGGGGACGCAACACGCTTGCACTCACTCGATCACTTCGCACATCTACCATCTACAAGGTCCGAGAAGGACAATGATGATTGCTCCCAAACTGAATATGCAGAATGGAGACACGCGCGGATGGTGCACGGCTATGGCGAATTAAAATTCCGAGTAATACTATCGCGAATAGCCAATCCGATAATCATGGGCTCTGGACGAAGACGCGCACTGTCGCATGCCAAGCCCTCCCCACACCACGGCAGCCCTTGCTGCTTCGCTGGCTGGGGTCCTCAATGGGAGACTCGAGACAACACTGAAGAACCCAGCATTCAGAAGAGAGACAAGCATGACAACATCAGTTTCGGAGCATACTGGACGATTGAAGATCGCATCGCAGGCTGACGCTGAAGTCAGCGATAGAAACAAAGAGTCGAACGAATAGACTCGACGCTGAAGACGCATGCGCGCATGAGAAGGCGGTGCGCGTGACGCCAAGCGCATCTACTACCAATGCGGACCGTGTAGCTGACATCGTGTCTCTCGCACTGTATGCTGAACTGATTGCCCCGCTACACAACAACACTGTCCATGCAAGGGTTAGACTTGCCAATCGCATTGGCCTTGCGCGGCTAAGTTCTTGCTATACGTTGGGGCCGCGCGCGAAGGACCAAGCAAACGCACGTTCGTTCAGCAAAATTCGGCAACTCTGCCGGAGCACGTGCTGGACACAAACGCACATGAACAATCACGCAAACGCATCACAAAGGAGCACGAAATGGCAAGGAGTGCGACGAGAACCCTGACGTTACGATTCCAGCAGGGACACAAAACAATGAACTAGCGCAGGCAACGCAAAGCAACGCGAGGCAATGCAAAGCCATGCAGCGGCAACGGGGCAGCCACGAGCCGATCATCTGAAAAGTATATCAGCGATTAGTGTAAGCGCTGCTTGTCTCGGGAACCAAGAAAACAATGCTGAGAAAACGCCTCTGGCAGACTGGTGCACCGAGGACTGGCCCGAAGAAATGAACACATTATGTTGCATCGTCGGGGGACCTTGTCTGTCCCGTCGCGACCGTATCCGCGCCGAGTCCATGTCAAATACATGCCGGACTCGTCGAATCCGCGTCGATTCCACGCCAAATCCACGTCGAGTCCGCATCGAACCCGCGCCAGGCACAAGACAAGACAATAACTTAAAGGACAGACGAGGTCCCCCGAATATGCAACGAAGAAGACACGCATACGCTTCTGGAAGATGTCGGCCCAACTCCTTGAGCTTCTGCCTACTCCTGGCCACTCTCCCAGCGGGGCGCGCAGCACGCTGTCGGAGGCTGGTAGAGCTGGGCGCATGCACACGACGTGGGTCCTTAAGGAATCCAGGGTCTGGAAGCTGGGGGAATCGAGGCTGAGCCTCGGGTATCTCAGTCGCCCGCATCAGATAAGGAACCCTCCAGAGTCTGACGCTTCCTGGGCACACTCCTTGCCCAACGTCCCCACCGTAGCACAAGCGCAACCTAGGGGAACAAAAAGGGGCATAAACATAACAACTCGGAGGTCCGCGCGGATTTCTCGGATCGGCGCTGGACCCCCCTCCCTGGCGCGCGGAGCGCGCCAAGTGCGGCGCTGGAGGCGACCCGCTGGGGGGGTCCAGCGCGGATCCGAGAAATCCGCGCGGACCTCCGGATCTTCATGTTCACGTCACTCTTTGTTCCCCTACAGCCGGCCTCACCCCTCTGCCAGGAGAGGCCAGCTCGAGGGATCTCCCTCTCCCTCCCTCTCTTTCTTGTCTAACAAGCTCCCCTCCCTCTCCCTCCCCCTCCCTCCCTCTGCCTCCCCCTCCCTCCCTCTCCCTCCCCTTCAAAGCTTCGAATCCTACAATACAGCTCACAAACTGCTCTGGACGACGAGATCTGACTTTGCAGGAAAGGGTGACGTTTCCCCGAATTGTGTCCTGATCAACCTGTGTCCTGGACTTCGGGGGGGAGGCATGCGGCCGCATGTTTATCCGGATCTCGCGATGTCACGTGTATCCAGTTCCATTGGAACGTTTGCTTGTGTTATGTTTGATCTCTAGGTCTCTCCCTCTCTCTCTCTCTGTGCACGCTTTCGGCTTGTGGGCCACACGCCCCGGGACTCCTGATGTCACGTGGCCGGCTCCGCAAAGCCTGAACCACAAACATGTAATCTCCTGCGGACCCAACCCATGTTTGCTGCCGCCGACTCTGAAACCATCAAGTAACAAAATAATAAAAAACAAAAAAAACAAAAAAAACAAACTTTTGGCGCGGAGCGCCAAGAGTTTATGCTTACGCATTTCTCTGCGCTTCGAATGTAGTCTCCTGCGGACCCACCCCGCGTTTGCTGCCGCCGACTTCCAGCGGCTTCCGCCGGCGTAGCCACCCTCGTTGTCCTTCCGCCGGCCTCTCGCCGACCTCCGCGGAGGAGGAGGTGGCACAGTCCCCGGAATCTCATGAGGGCGAGGCCCCTTCGGACCCCCCCCTGGCTCAAGCCATCCTGGCTCAAGACCTCCACGCGAAGGTCAGCCTGCCGGGGGGGGTGGCGTGAGCTTCTGGATACGCCAAGTATTTTGTTCTTGCACTCTAGTTACTTTGATCTTTCAAAGACATGGATCCCTAAAGGTCTGGACCCATTTACCAGTCGGCAGCAAATCATGTGAGCCTCGTGTACCCTCAGAATTTCGTCTTCAGCGTCGATTATATAGCATCGATTAGCGTCTGGGGGTCGGTGAGGTAGCGCCGATGTCACGTCGGCTGGCGTCCCTTGGCGTCGACTTAGCGTCGACTAGCGCCAACTAGCGTCGATTCGCAAGAGCCGACAAGATCGCATGGGAGGTTTCCATGAGTTGTCACCGAACCTTGACCAAGACCTCTTCCACGACGGAAATATGTAGTCATTAGGCGGGTGAAGCCGCGAGTCGACGTCGACCTCGCAGAGGAGGGGCGGCGGGCTTCGAGGGCGAGCGGCGGTAGTCTCCCAAGACTCGGGCGCGCGCGCCGGTGCTGCAGCGGCGGTGGTGCTGCCCGACTCGACGCAGTGGCCGACGTCCTGGAGCCGGGGTCGGACTGGACGCAGTGCGCAGCATAGAACGTGCAGCAGCGAGTGGCAAGCACGCAAGAGCAACACGAAGATGAGCCTAAAGAGAGGCTCCAACCACTACTCAGATCCGCCGACCACCCTGTCGGCGTGTGGAAGACGCTGTTCTGTTTGACTTGTCGTCGTCATCGTAGTCGTCGTCGTCGTCGCCGTCGTGGTCGTCGTCTTCGTCGCCGTCGTCCCTCAAGGTCGGCGGCACTGGCGGCCCAGGGGACGCAGAGCAAGGGTCGGGCCGGGACGGTGGGGATCAGCAAAGGGCCCTGACATCCTCGCGACGTGTACTCAAAGCAATCGCGGCGGGCCCCAGATCCATGAGAGGCAACATTGCCACACCGTGCGCTTTCGCGCCCGGCTTCGTTCCCCCGGGATCGTCACAGATCGATCATAGGCTGCAAAAACGCAGCAGGAGGATCGGGTCTAGAGCTCTGGCCGTGATTTCCAGCGGAGCTGAATTTCTCGCAGCGCAAGTCTCGGGGACCGATGCTTGGCGGTGTCCACCTCCACGGGCCTTGACGAAGCCGGGGGGGCCGCGAAAAGCACTGCTCAGGGTCAAGTCGGGCCTGTCTCTCTACAGGGAGGACTATTCAAAAGCAGTTTTTTTTTAATATCTGGGGACCATTTTTGTAGTATTTTTTTACTTTTGAGCATGTTCTTTGACTACTTTTCATTTTTCGTCCAAAATCCCCCTGTAGGGGGGCAGGCCCGATCTAAGCTTAGGGGGAGAAGCCAGTCCCCGACCTGGGGTTTCTGGGAGAGGCGGCCGGGCAGTCCTCGGAGGCGCTTCTAAGGGGTCCTCCGGGGCGGTTTGGGGGCACGCTTTTGGGCCGTCTGGCGCCTTCGGGAGCCGTCTGGCAGGCTTGTCTGGGCCGTGCTGGTCTTCAGGGTTCTGAGGAGGTTCGCCGCAGACGTGGCAACGGGGAAAACATGCGACGAAGGCAAACACACACAGATTTTTGAAACTGATGGTTGGGGGCCCATTGGAAGCTCATGTGCTCGCAAGGACTTGAGGACTCTTCTCGCTTCGCGGGGTGCGCGTCCAGAAAAAGCAGAGTATGACCGTTGTGGACATGTAGCGGGGCCCAGGGGGGCACACATAAATACACCCAGATCCAAGGATCACCCATCGTTTTCCACGTTTTCTGGGTCTTCATCTTCCCCCGTACTTCAGATGTTCTCCTATATTCGTGGGGGTCGACGATTCATGTTGTCTTTGTGCTTTTGCCCATTCTGAAAATTAATGTGCTGAGGGCCCCTGGGGCCTCTGATGGGGGGCCATTTACTCAATCACCTAGGGCGCTGTTGGGCCCTCTGCCATTTTCTGCACCCGTCTGGGGCGGCTCTGGGCCGTCTTTGGGCGCTCTACAACCGTCTCGGGGGGTATGTTCGACGGCTGTCTGACCGTCTTGGGAGCCTTTTTTGGGCCATCTTGGAGCCCTGTTGGACCGTATTGGACCCTTCGACGACTGCCGACTGTCTTGGGTCGTCTCGGGGCCATCTGGAAGGCCGCTGGGACCAGCCGTGGCCTGGAGAACTCCAGGACAACGAGAAAGCGAAACCCCTTGGAGATTCAGGCACCCACATTTCTGGCCATCGCTCGGACGTCCATTCCCTGTGTTTGTTGGGTTTCGTGGGTGGTTTTTTTCGCCAAATGATCAAGGATGCTCCTCGATGGTCGTCGCCGAAGGAAAAAAGCACACGTCCGAGCGATGCCAAGATTGTTGTAAGTCGCAGCGCGGCAGAGGCAGTCCGCACGCGCGCTCCAGTGGGTCGGGCAGACACGGCACGAACCGTCTGGCTGCAAGAAGAGGAAAGAAGGGATCCAGAAGACGTTCCTGGCAGCCTTTCGTGATCACCTGAGTGGCCGCAGTGGTTCCTCCAGTGGCCATTGGACCACAGCGGCCCCCCGCAAGCCTAGAGCCGCCTCCAATGTCTCCTCCAGTGGCCCCCCCGCGGCCTCCAGTGGCCTCCAGTGGCCTCCCGTAGCCCGCAGTGGCCGCCAGTGGCGCGAGCAAACGACTGCGGGCCACTTGAGGCGCAGGAAAGCCAAGCTAAATGACTAATTACAAGAGGCTCCCAGGATCGTCCTCTGAAGAGGGAAGAGGGCGGCCGCGAAGAGCGGGAAGGAGAGGAGGACACCCGCGGCGCGCCCGGGGCGAAAAACACAACACCGCGGGCGGTTGGCGCGGCCAGCATGTGCCGAGGCACCCTGGCAGTGGACGCGGGGCGGCATCGCGGCCACACTCCGGGGCCGAGGCAGAGGCTGCGGGCGTGAAGTGAAGGCGTGGAGCAGGCCGAAGCCGCGCAAGGAGGAGGAGCGGCTGCGCAGGCGCGCCCACGGAGGCGGGTGGCATCCGGATGCCCTCTGGAGCGTCTCGGGTGCCAGAATGCTGCAGGTGCGGCGCCAAGGGGGGGCGGCATGCAGGCCAAGAGGGCTGGGCCGGCAGGCCCAGCGGAGCAAAGTGCTGCGCCGAGGCCAGGCTGCACTGCTGAGGCCGCGCTGCGGGGGCTGCAGGCGGCAGAGCTCCGGAGCGAGCTGCAGGGCTAGCGGGGCCGACGAGGCTGCGTGCACCGCGACTGAGATTTGAGCAGGGACCGGCCGTCCCGGCATTCCTATAGTCTTACCACAAGATGTTATTAGAACCCAGAAATGTTCGAAGAACACGAACAATGTTCTTAGAACATGAACCCGATGTGTTACAACAAGGCCATATCAACCAGAAGTGTTCTAAGAACATTTCGCGGAAACCACAAAAGGCTCTTAGAACATTGTTTGGCAGTAGGGCTATAGGCGAGCCAGGACGCTTCGCCACTGCTTGAGAGATGGCGCCGAGTGGCACGGGCTGGGGAGCCGCTGCGGATCCACCGAAGCTGCCAGGATAGGCGGCGGGTGAGGGGGGGAACTGAGAAGGGGCGGCCTTCTCAGAAGGCTCGGAAGTCCCCGGGCCTTCTGAGAAGTTTTCTGTTCCTTCCCCGAAGACAGACAAAAGTTTCCCAGAAGGCGCGAGGGCTCCCGAGAAGTCCCGCCGCCTTCTGGGAGGGCCTTCTCCCTCTCACTTCCCCCCCCTCGCTCGCCGCCGACAGCATTACCAGCCTGGAACATGTCCCAGGCCCTATCCCTATGCTGGGCATCTCCTCATCACGATGCCAATCTTAGGGATTCCCTTAGTTTTTGAGGGCGAATCCCTAAGATTGTCATCGCCTTTTGGCGTGTCAATCTTAGGGACAGGGATACGTTCGAGGCTGGTAAACAGAAGGCCAGCGCGGCGCGGCCGCCGCGGGGTGACGCGCTGCGCAGCGGGGCCCCGCGGCAGGGCCGCCGAGCCGCCGCGGAGCCGGGCCGCCGGGCTGCCCGACGCCGGGCCTCTGCGGAGCGGGGGCGCCGCCGGCGGGGCGCCGTCGGAGCAGCGCGGCTCCGCGGCCGCCGCGGGGAAACGCCCCCCGCCGGCGGCAGGGCACAGGAGCGGGGGGGGGAGAGCCGCGCCCGGCCGGCGCACGTCTATGTCTTACCAGCCGAGAGGATAGAGCCCAGTGGCAAGAGAGAGAGAGAGAGAGAAAACAAACAAACAAAAAACGACGACGAAGAGACGGCACGACGGGCGGCCGCGACACCCGGCGCACGCGTCACGGCGGGGCGCGGCCGAGAAGCGCCGCCCCAGGGCTGGCGGAGCAGCGGCGCCCAGCTGCGGAGGCAGCGGGGCAGCGGGCGGGGGAGGGCGGCCCCTTGGCCAGGGTGAAGTCGGGCACGTCCCTCTTACAGGAGGAAGATTCAACAATGCTGCGCAAATCGTATGGGGACCATTTCTCCACTACTTGTTTGATAATGCTTGAACGCTCTTGACTATCTATCGCTTGTGCCTCAAAATCCGCCTGCAGGAGGCCATGCCCGAACGAAGGCCACGGCAAGCACCACGGCAGGGAGGCCACGGGGCCGCCGGGCCCCGCGGCAAGCCAGGCGTGGCGCCCGGCCCAGGGCAGCGAGGCAGCGGTGGCGGGGCAGGCAGGAGGAGAATCCACCTGGGGTCAAGTCGGGCATGTCCCTCTACAGGGGAAAGTTCAAAACATTGTCAAGCAACATGTGGGGGCAGTGCTCCCAGTGTCTGTGTTTCGTCCCGCGTTTCATTTGTCTTCCAAGATCCGCCTGTAGGAGGACGTGCCCGACCTAAACCTCGGGTTAAGTCGGGCGTGTCCCCCTACAGGGGTATTTTCGACGAAAGTTATTATCCCGGCAAAGCAACCTAACAGCGATGTGTAGGAGCACATCTGGAAGCATTCCCCTTAAGATTCAGATGAGAATCCAGTTGTAGAATTCTGCTGTTCTCGCAGTCGTAGTCGCATTCGCGATGACAGTCGCAGTGGCAACGGCAGTCGCAGTCACAGCCTCAGCCTCAGCCTGCCTCAGCCTCAGCCTCAGCCTGCCTCAGCCTCAGCCTGCCTCAGCCTCAGCCTCAGCCTGCTCAGCCTCAGCCTCAGTCTGCCTTCAGCCTCGGCCTCAGCCTCAGCCTGCCTCAGCCTCAGCCTGCATCAGCCTCAGCCAGCCTCAGCCTCAGCCTCAGCTGCCTTCAGCCTCAGCCTCAGCCTCAGCCTCAGCCTCAGCCAGCCTGCCTCAGCCTCAGCCTGCCTCAGCCTCAGCCTCAGCCTGCTTCAGCCTCAGCCTCAGTCTGCCTTCAGCCTCGGCCTCGGCCTCAGCCTGCCTCAGCCTCAGCCTGCATCAGCCTCAACATCAGCCTGCCTCAGCATTCAAAATGTGGCCCGGGAATGTAGTTCTGGGAACTCGAAGAACACGAAGTGGCCTACAGTTGGCTCCAGGCATTCAAAATCATGTCCAGGAATGGAGTCCTGGGAACTCGAAGACCACGAAGTGGCCTACAGTTGGCTCCGGGCATTCAAAATCATGCCCAGGAATGGAGTCCTGGGAACTCGAAGACCACGAAGTGGCCTACAGTTGGCTCTGG